GCAAACAACATGGCGACTCGCGGGTTATTAAAGCACAGCGTGCGCAGCGAGGGCCAGCCAAGCCATCAGTGCATGAAGGGGCTGGGGATTGCTTATGTTGGGATTTGACTGCCAAGTGAAACCAAAAGCATGTCTGTTTTAAGCTACTGCATCAGCATGTGCTCATCTATTAGGGGGGCTGAAGACAGAAAAACCCTGTTGGACTTCCAAGTGTATTCATCCAGGCAGGTCAGGATCATCTCTGAGCAGAAAGTAACCCTTGGGATTCTCTGTCTTACGCATAAATTCCTCCAGAACACCAAATAATGGAAGAAAAGACCCTAAAACACCCAAAGGGTTTATTAACTTTTGGTAGATGTTGTCCTCCTCTTCAAAAAAAAAAATGGAAGTCTTGAAGAAATAGAACCATAAAATCATAGAATCATTAAGGTTGGAAAAGACCTCTAAGATCATTGAGTCCAACCGTCAACCCAACACCACCATGCCCACTAAACCATGTCCCTAAGCGCCTCATCTACACGTCTTTTAAATTCTTCCAGGGATGGTGACTCCACCACTTCCCTGGGCAGCCTGTGCCAAGGCCTGACCACTCTTTCAGTAAAGACATTTTTCCTAATGTCCAGTCTAAACCTCCCCTGGCACAACTTGAGGCCATTCCTTCTCGTCCTAGTCCATCTAGTCCTCTAGTCCATAGTCCATCTTACTCTTACAATTCAAATGTACAATTCACCTGATGGAAAAATTATACTGGGGGGGTGGGGAAGGAGTCCTGTTTAATATTTTTCTTCATACTTTTGAGTGTAGAACTAGAACCACCACTCCGTCCTGAATTTCAGGGGACAGCTCTTGCCTGGGTGATGGGTCGTTCCTCCACCACTGTCCTTAGGAGAGATCTGTCCCAACTAATTCCTTCCATGTCACCCGTCTTAGCATTAATTAATACTATTAGAGATTACAGGAAATATCCAAAAGCTCCAGTTCGAAATAGGGGCACATTGGGCTGGGCAAAGCGTAGAGATTTTTTTGCCAGAGGGAGAACAATTTCAAGCTGGAAAAAAACGACGACAACTTTAGGAAAGGAGGACCAGAAGGGTGGAGACAAGAGGAATGGGACCAAAGGCTATAAATTAGGAATTGCCACCTGTCTTAGGTAACACCTCTCCCTCCTAAGCATCTGGGCTCCTCAAGCAGTTTAACAGAGCTCGGGTTAGGGATGTGGCTGGTGATACCTCTATCCAAGCCAGTCATCAGGACCCACTTTATAGCAATCAGAGGGAATTGGGAATAGGATGCCCGTATGCAACATCTATGGAAAGATGATGAGCACCCCAAATCCTGGGTAGGATTTAGTTGCCTAAAGAGAAGTGTCTAGGGTGAGCTGAAGACACCCAAGGATCCATGACATCTGCAAGGGACCCACAGATATGGCACAGGAGACCAGGGAAAGCGTAGTGGGATGTCAGAGAAGATCCCCAGGATGCTATTTGCCTCTCTCTAGGAAACTAAATCCCATGATCTGTGTCCAGCATTCATCTTACCCAAGCTACAGGGCTTTAACTCTAAAAAATGCATTGGTTCATAAATATTAGGGCTAGAAGGTGCTGTGTTTGGAGTCTGGCTTCCTGAAGCAAGGCTCTCTCTTAGAGAGCACGAGCAACGCTATCCCTGAAGCAAACTGTCACACTTGAAATCAGGCCCCCAGTAACAGTTCGACCACCCTTATTCACACCCAAAGCCCTGGCCATTTTCTGAGGCGTCCTCTGAATCCTAAGCCATCGTTTATGACCGGTACCTAGCCAAGCATGGGGGATCCCTACAGCATCCTGAAATCAGAGCAGAAACAGCAAAGGACACATCTCCTTGGGTTGTGGCCTTTCGGAAGGATTTGTGCTCCTAAACCATTCAAACGCCCTTGAGAATCCTGTCTGTATTTAGTTTTCTTTAAAGATCAACATGTTTTCTGAAAAGAACAGAACGACAAAATAGCGGGTGTGTTGCAAAAAGCTTTTGTGAAGAAAAAACTTATTCCAGGATGTGCAGTTTGCAAAACACTATGTTTAGTAGCTATATAATAGCAGCATTTTCTGGCAGTTGAACATCACGTTCCTTCTCAAAGGATCCTAAAACATTTTACAAACGCTTTCAACATATGGCCAAGTGTAAAATAGCACCATAAAAAAAGAAGATCGTGTTTGCAGTCTTCCCCCTGATTTTTGCAACCAGCTCATGTGGTCTGGTGGTTGGTGCCCTCTCCTTGGATGCCAAGAGGGGACCAGGGCTGCGCTTCTGCAAAGGATTTTTGACTTGCTGCCGAAGACCACCGCACGCAAGTTCAGCTCTGCCACACTGCTGAGCATTGATAATCCATGGCTTATGAGGGCTTTGAGCGGCTCAAATCCATGGCTTATGAGGTCTCAGGCAGAACCCAACCCTATTACACCAAAACCAAAGAGCATCGGCACCGACAGCAACAACAGGCTGATAGACCCATAAGAGGAGCCACTTCTCGCACTACAAATGCGGACCTGCTTTCCCGGCACCGCCACCCAGGACCAGTCTGATGGCACGTCAGTGACGCTGCCCACAGTCGTGCAAGTGGCACTGCCCACAGTCGTGCACAGCTCAAAGGACACCAGTAATTTAAGTCGTAATCCAGCCAAATGTGCATGTGCTCACCCCAGGGACCGCTCTTGTCTGCAGAGCAAGCACACAGACTTATGATCTCCTCAGGGATGGATTTCTGCAGGAAAATGTGGAAAATGTGGAATATAATTGCTCGGTGTGCAGTTTACCATGTCCGCCAAAGTAAACATTCCCAGCTTTCCAGAAGATCTTTAACAGTTGCCAGCTGTCAAACCCTGTGTTTTATATCTCATCTAACACATGACAGTTACAGTAGCACGGAGCCCCAGGCACCATGTAGAGACATTACTTCTGTGCTGGGTTTGCAAAAAATTTTTTAAAAAATTAAAAGAAAAATTTTTAAAAAGACACCTTTGGATTCGACACTTTTTGCTGGGATCTGGGATTCTCCTTGAAGGTCCCACACATAAATATTGGCTTATCTTGTAAGATCAGACAAGTGTACTCTCATATAGTCTCCTAAAGCCTTTCCTTAACTCATGTTTAAGTCATTACTAGAGGAAGACATGCTCACAGGCACAAACTCTTGTATTTTTCTCCTTAATTAAGAGGCACAAGATGGAGTTGATTCACCCTAAATGGGCAGAATAAAGTGATATCTACACACAAATAATTTATTCAGCCTCCTGCCTTCCCAGCCCCAGAAACAGGGGCTTAGATAACACCAGACACTAAATTCAGCTCACCGTGTGCTCAGCTTTCACAAATAAATTACAAATAAAGAAGCCTTATTGACCTAATCCTGCCTTTTTGTCACATTTGGCCCCAAAGTAACTCTCCTCTTAGGCAGTTCAAGCATTCCAATGTTTTGCATTGTCTTCTAAGAGGAGCATCTTTGCAAGCTCCAACCGCATGGCACGGCAACTGGGATTTGCTGAATTTAAATTTATGACCCTCATGCAATAATTAAAATAAGCGGGTATAAGTCTGGCATGCTGAGAAGACGCAGCAAAACAGCTGTTAGTTATAAACTTTAAAAAAAATAAAAGGATGTTTTATGAGCCTCATCAGAAACATTCTTCACTCTTTCATATAGACAGGAATAAAATTTACACATTAGGCATTCCCTATTGTGATTTAATCTCTGCCCCACACAATGCACTTTTGATCTTGAAACTGCAAATGCAAACTTTAATAGAGTTGGCGGATTGAAACGTCGTATGAAATAAATGGCAGAGAATGAAGACTCTCCGCACGCCACTCCCATAAAAACACGGGGCTTCTCAAACCCACATTCGTGCTGAAGGCCAACGCACAAATCTTCCCATTTCTCCCAGCCTAGCACAGCTTTCACATCGCCAGCAAATGAGCCACTGCCTGGGCCATTAGCAAAACGTTCCCAAATTAATGTTGCTAACTCAAGTGCATCTCAGCTGGGCGAGGAGCCTGGATTCCTCATGGGAAGCTGCTGCCAACGTCCCTGCAGAAAGGATGAAGGTGGCCCCGGGCTTTCGTGGCATGTCAGCCAGGATGGGGCACGGTGCCCTCTTCCAATTGCGTGGGTGTTTTGGGGTGTCCCAGTGCAATGTTGCTTATTGGCAGGGAAGGAACCCAGAGGGTCCCCAGGCTGGATGAGCCAGGAATGGTGGTGAGGAGGAACCACAGTCTGCCAGGTCCCCAAGCAAGAGGTGACACCAGAGACAGCACCGGAGACAGGGCACACACCTCCCTGAGCATCCTCTCGCGCCCATGGCCACGCTGCCCATCGCACTGCAACGAGGATGTAACTGTTAGAAACCAGTCGGGCGCAGCTAGAAATCAGGATTATCTGGAGCCGTCATGATTAATAGCAGTGCAGATTTGGACGGGAAATTAAAGCTGGTGCCTCAGGGCTGAAGCACATCCCTATCTATTAAAAACCAGAGTGGAAGAAAGAAAAAAAAAAAAAAAAAAAGATGTGGGAGTAAAATTATCTCCCACTTTCTCCCACTGCAGGTCCCTGAAGGAGGTTTCTTTGCCTCGTGGCTTGTGATCAGATGAAAATTTTTGTGCAAGGCTCACAGAAATCTGTCCAGCTTATGTCAACTTTCGTATTTGTAGCCTTGCATTCTCACGGTTGTATACAATGCCTTTGCACAGGTCTAACAGAATAAGACACATTTAAATAACGTTGGAAAAATCAGTGCTGATCACCCCCAGTCCCTGTAAAACACTGACTGCAAGGAATCAGTTGTCAGAATGGAAAGTCCGCGTAAGAGCAAAACTGCATTTTATAGAAACATCTCATTTGTGACCTCTCACGGTGATGTATTAGAGCAATGGCCTTTCCTGCACAAGTTTGCCATAAGCCGCTAAACATCGCATGATATTTATTCATCGTGGGTTCTGTAAGTGAAGGAAAAATGTGCATCTTTTACCTTGAACACTTCCATTGGAAGAGGAAAATTTGCTGCATCATTAAGGGATTTTTCCAGAGCGCATTTCCACTCAGATATAGTCTTCAGAGAATAGATATCTAAAATGATGACAACAGAAGAAAACAACAAAACCAAGAGGTGACTGTTTGGGGATCAAACATTTTTGAAAGACTTAAGTTCCTATGTCATAAAAATGGATAGTACAAGCGAAATGAAGAGTGTGCATATTCCAAGCTGTACAGCGTGGATAAATTCAACACAAAAGCAACTAGCAGGGGCACATTTGAAGAAGATTGTATTTTATATCCTGGAGTAAAACCCATTTTCTGCTGAAAAAATGAGAATCATACTATCTCGTTACTCGAAAATAACAAAAACTCTCCTTTGATTTTCAGTTCTCAAAAAACCTGATGTTTTCCAGTTTGAGGAGCCTCAGATCTTCAGCCAGTATTAGTTACATTTGAACAAAGGCAGAAATAACTTTACTAAGGCTTCTGTTCATCGGAAAGTCTTTTTTTTATTATTTTTTATTGCAGGGCTGGGGTTTTATTGCGGTGGCCGGGGGTAGGTGTGGGAAGGAACATTTCAGCTAGATCTCTACCCAGACTCGTTTATCGGTACCACTCTCAAACCAGACTATCGCACCAATTCAGACTCACACTTATGAATTTTCATCATTATACTTTTAGGCAACATCTTTGTGCACATTCACATTGCTTTCATAGAGCTTCTTTAAACAGGTTTAATATTATTAAATCATTAGATTAACAAGCCCTTTATGGTTCAGTGCAGTGAAATGCCTATGAATCATCAAAGGAAACAATGTAGGAAACAATACTATGATGAAGAACATTATATTGGATTTACTTCTGCCCTAGAAAACATATTGTTATCCTGCACATAACAAGTTATTGCAGCACATTCATATCAAGGTCTTAAAGAGACAAGATAGGTAGATAGATTGTAACAATTATTAAAATGGAAATGAACATTTACTCAATAATAAACTTGAACCTTGATACGGAGTGAACAGCGTGAAGCTTTTCTTTTGTCAGTTTGGCTTCACACACTTGCATCACAGTTCAATTTGGCCCAATTTGCATTTAAATTCTGTACATCTAATAACCATATATATTTACTAGCTAGCAAAGATCTACTGCTGTATCTCACAATTCTGAAGGAGGAAATAAAAAGTATGTATAAAAAAAAGGAATTGGCAAGCACTGTTTTCACCTAGCACTGACGGTACAAGAGAATTTTATGCTCTGATCTCAACAGATTTAAGACCTTATCAAAATAGGATTTGCAGAATCACTCACTGGAAGTGGATGTATTTATACTTCCACTATATCAAACCTCGCTACTTCAGAACAGACATCAAGGATATGCATATGAATTTAAACACACTTAAAGGGAAATGTTAACCTTTCAGGGCTGTATTTTGAATTCCTCAACTCTCTGGTTATTAATGGGAATACACATTTCAAGTCTTTGTTTACCGCACGTGCAGCAGTCACAAGTGTTAAGAAGTGCATTTCTTTATCTAATTGATCATTATTTTATAGCTCTGTCGCTCCAGTTCTCCCTTACTTGCAGAAGCTCTGATCGGCTTGAAGCGCAGGGAGGGAAACGACTCACCTTGTTTCTTCCTTTTTGGCTTAAAGATGCCAAACAGGGAAATACTCAATACAAGATGATTTTGCCCGAAGCTGCAGCCAGCCTGTTGTTTCAACTTACAAAAAGTCTGACTTTTGGAAAACCCTGCTGGATGCTCCCCTCCTCACCAGACAGAACAAGCTGAAAACAGACCCTCGTTTTCTATCGTGATGGCAGTGAAGCATAGGAAAGAAGAAGAAAGTGGCATTTTGGGCAACTTCGCCCAAAATCAGTGAAAACAAGCAACAACTTCTTTGGGCAGTGTCAACAAACTTCGAGAGATAAAGACAACTCCAGTGGTTTCAGGAACCAGCACGCAGTATCACATGCACATTTAATCAGTGGCAGCTAGCTTATGCTGGCAAGTATATGGGCACTAAATCGCACGGTTAAAAGAGCATAAAGCATTTTGTTTAAGTGATAGGGTTGCAGGTAATTGAACAAAGTGTACTGTGTCAATTTGTATTTAGGTTAACAAGGAGTGAGCAATTAAAATGACTGCCAATTTGTCTTTAAATAGAAAGTAATATAAAATGAGACGATCTCTTCCTGCACAAGCAGTCGAGGCAAGACCATCAGGGGCTCCGAGTCAAGCAGCCTGTGCCAATTTGCACTAGCAAGGAGGTTTATTTTGGATTCAGATATACATCTGAGGGGGAAACACGCTACAACCCCTTTGCTTCAGTTAAAAGGGCTCGCAAGACATACAAGTTGCCATTTGGAGAAGACAGCCAGGATGCTATTTCCTAAGGACCCTCTTGCACATTCTTGTACATTAAGTGGGTGCTAGGATGTGGATGGCTTCAGAGAAGAGACCCAAAATACTGTCGACGTTTGGATCCATGGAATCTCCTTTACATGAGATGCTCCGCATCTTGAACAACTGACCTCAAACTGCTCTGCAAGGTGAAACCCAACTTGGCAGGTCCCAGAGGTGGATCAACACAGAAAAATCACAGCCCAGACACAAAGGGAAATAAAGCTGAAGGAGCACATGCAACATCCAAGTCACGGGTAGGCAAAGCCCTGTCACAGCCTGCAGAACTGATGTGTAACTGAACATCCTCATTTGATAGCAATTGAATACGCAGCCTGATTTGGGAGGAGCTGCGCGTCCTCAGCATCTCTTCAGAGGAGATTCATAACAGCTTTGACATACAGTCTAAGGCTGTTCCTGTTATCAATCAAGGAGTCACCTCAACGGGCTTCAGATGTTCAAGTTAGACAACCAGGTCTGTGTTTGTTGCTTTCAACCACCCTGAGTGGAAAAAATAGGTTTATGAAGATGTCATTTCATTTGACCTATGTTAGACATGTCTTAGGCATCCCCTTTTCTCCACCGATCATACAGAGAAAGCAATAGCTCACGCTGAACTGTCTTTTTGATGCCTAGACTACGGCAGGTGAATTTAATCCCTGATGTGTAAAAAGCCAACATACTGCCCACAGACTGTCTCTCTTTCCTAAGAAGGTCCATACTTGGTCTTTCACACAACAAAGGTCTTTCTAGTCCAAATCCTATTTACTATAAAAGTCACTAGGAAGGATGTAAGCAGGCAGGGATGGGTCCCTGGCACACTCCTGGCCAGGGTCCTTCGGAAATTGCATCCTTTGACAGTTTGTGCTTTAGCAGCTTCATCCCTGAGTTTCTTTAGAGCTCTCTGCTGCCAGCGTCTCATCCTGACGACTCACTACTGCTTGCCTGCCTGCTTGCTCACAGATTTCTTTTGCAGACTCTTTACTTTGAAACAGATCCCCTAAGAGCAGCCACTTGGCTTTTTCCCTCTTCTTCCTCGGGGTTAATGTGACACCACAACTGTCTCATATGCTTTATTCATCCATTGTGCTTTATGAACATGTTGATGTTAGGTGGACATCAAATGGCCGATATAGTCCACTATGTCAGAAGTGGAACAACCAGCATTCCCGCCTCCAGAAACTCATCGGATTCCCAATTCTGACTGGCTGCTCCCTGCAGTGCAGAGCCTGACAACTGGGTAGACCAGAAGGGGGGATCAAAGAAAGAACCTTGGGGGCAACGTTCAAGAGAGGACTTGTGAGAAAATGGAAGAGTTCAGACCCAAAGGGTCTTTTCTCAGCAAACTCCTATGAGACACAGCTTTAGGAGATGTAAAATAACGACCACCTATTTAAGTCAATGGCAGTCAGGAAGATGATCTGGGGCACTGAATTCATTAATAACAATGTTCACTAAAAAGTGAATGACCAGAGAAACGCCAAGGAGACGAAACAGGTATCAGATGAAGACAGGCAAGAACAAGAGAAAAAGATTTTAAAAGCAGTTAAACCAAGGAGAGGGGAGAAGAAACATAAACAACTTCAGCCAATAAGGAATCCAATAACAAGTTTAGAAACAAGAGAACTGAAAAAATGAAAAGGGAAAAAAAAGGCGCAGGGGGGAATCCATAGAGAAGGAAGCACAACTGGATAAAAGGAGGAAAGAATAGAAAGAGAATGGAATAAACGAAGAGGAAGCACAAATCTCGTTTGGGCCATTTCTGTATTGATTCGCCAAACCTATACAGGCCAAGAGGGTTCAAAGACGGTCAATGAAAAAGTGTTTCTCTGTAACACAAATACTCTGTAAAATAACAGAGTGAGTAATAGTCATGCTTTCCAGCATTCACATCTAATTTAGAAGTGATGAGGAATATCGATTCCTACCTATCAGTGAAGAAAAACACATGCTTCCAAAAAGCATTCAAGACCCCCAGTTAGACCCAAGACTCAAACTTGTGAACACAACAATTGCATGTATCGGGGTAACGTCTCTGAATCAGGTACGATGGACAGAAGCACATCAGAAATACCTACCCAAAGGAGGGCTACCTTTCTGCTTTCATTTGACACTCATGGAAAAACTTCACCCACAGCACGAGGAAAATGAGGCACAGACTTGGACAAGTCATCGACCCATACAGGAAAGGTGGAATAGGTCTGCTGGGCCAAACCCTATGCATTAACCAAGAAAGCACCTCATCTCTCAAAGGGAACAGTGGTCTCCAGGCATCCAACTTGGAGGTGTAAAGAGCTAGCAAATATGGGCCCTGCTCCACAAGACCCGGCAAACAGCTTTGTGGCCCCAAGTATTTATGAAAAATATAGATGCTGCACACTTTCTGCCCCAAAGCAGACCATGCATGCAACAGTCTACGCTGTCATGTTTAACCAGATCCCTAACTCCGAGACAAGTCAAGTCAACCAACTTGACTCAACCAACTTGGCCAACTCAAGTCAGACCAACGCAGAGCCAAACATTCTGAGTAGAGAGAAACCCAATTGCCCAGAAACTTCCACAACGTTTTGACTAATATTATTGGCGCGGTGGAGAAAATTCACCCTCCCAGTCATCCCTCACTGTAATGGAGTATAGCATGGATGGAAGAACATCTCCAAAGCCAGCCCCAGAACCTGCCAGTGAATGCCTCTGCAAGTGTTTCTCCAGGAGGCTTCAAGCAGCCCTGAGCCCCTGCTGTGTGCTGTGGTCCCTAGCCCATACCCTGCTTGCTAAACCTTAGTAATCCTTCGTTTTCCCCCACGCTCAGCCTTGCACTCCTTCTTGCCCTGCTGGTTTGATCCTGCTTCTTTTGCCAAACCCACTCCCACTGTTTGGACTCTGATTCCATCTAACCCCTGAACTCTACTCTTGCCCAGCCTCCAGGCCCAGCTTGCTTGTGCCTGACTCTTCTGCCTGGCTCCTGTCCCTTGAACTTCTCCCGCCCCTGGATTTGTGACTTCCAGTTTCTGACCTCAGACTGGCTTAACTGCAGTTCCTATCTCCCTCCTTCCAAGCTGGTTTGAACACTAAACTCAACTCTAGAGAGCTTCTTCTCCACGTCACAATCTCCTGATGTTGAATCTGGTCTGACATACTTGCAAAGACTTCACACCCGTGGAGAAAACACAGGACAAAATCTGTGGTCTTTTAAATCTGAAAGACCCATCTACCCTTACTCAAAAGAGTATTTTCTTAGCTTCTAGGAACAGACACCCATACCCCCTCGATGGGCCGGTTGACATGGACAGGCAGACAAACCCAGCACCCTCAACAGACTTTCTGACTGATTATACGCAAGGCAGGTCTCAGTTGGCAGACGTACAGCAATGTTACAGCAGAATATGAAAGACCTGTGTTAGAGAGATCATGAGGGTCCCAAAACACTTTTTCCAGCCCCGGGAAATGTCATGGAGGTCTACTGCTACCCAAGAGAAATGTATGTGGCCACGGAAACACAAACGGGAAAGAGGTGTTTGGTTGAGGGGAAAGCAAATGGAGCCTAGTCTATGCCGAGAGGTGTCACCTAGGACTTGATTTGGACAGCAGAAGACTGGCTCCCAGTGAGGCCTCGACCAGGATGCCTACAGTACGGCCAGGAAGACCTGGCCACTAAAACGCCACTGAAGAAGGAAGACCTGGCCACTGGGGACGCAGGCACATCCTTGGACCATCCCCATCAGCTCTGCCTTTTGCTGGAACAATGCACAAAGCTGCTTTTATTGGACACTGCTTCCTTCCAGGAGTGAGCTAAGCTAAACTGAATTTATTGAATAAATTTAATACAGTTTACCCTGACCCATTTTGAACCCAAATTAGATGGCTTTCACATGCCATCTGTGTTACAGCTAGAAACTACTGTAAAAGCAATGTGAATGCTGGGTAAGAAGAAATGGGCTGCACGAGTATCTCAAAACATCAGTAAACGCCACAAAGGGAGATAGTATTTTTAGGAGGCTCTTTACCTGCAGGTGGGTCCATTCTGTATTTATTCTCTTGACACCAACCGACTGGTCGAAGTCTGCAATCCAAGTAAAACAACCACTGGTCATAGGATTCAGTCTCCTCCAATCCCACATAGCGAAGGCGTAATCTTCCTCCAACATTTTCAACCACACTAACTATCCAGTACTGAAAGGGATTCTGGGAATCCTGCAGCTCTATTAAGGAATCAACTGTAATGAGGTCTACAGGGTTTTTTCCTCGCAGAGGCTGTTTGAATAGAAGCAAAACTCCTTATTTTAAACTTTATTTGAAGACTTCTCAAGGAAACAGATGACAGCAGAAGATTATTTTTGTTTTTCACACCATCATCCAAGCGATCAGCAAACAGTCTGTTCTTCTTCTATTTTACCCAATGTCTTCCAAGTGCAAATTCAGAAGTAAAACAGAAAACAACAGTTGTGCTAATTTCTCAACCGACATCATCAACAACAACAAAAAAAGAATAATAAAAGGTGGAACAGCTCATAAGGCACATCCACTTAGGATGTTCCTGAACAACTCAAAGCCCAGTTACATGGGAGGATTTCAAACCAAATTCTCATTGATTGCAGCTGATAAGAACCAATCACAGGACTGGACACTGGCATTTGTCTAAAAGGCGACTACTTTGGGCATGACCCTAAAATTGCCCTCTGTGCACCGATCTTTCCCACCGAAAGTTTTATCCCACTCCTACTGGCATGTAGAGCAAATTATTCCCCCCTGCCATGGATGCAAGAGTCTATGGTGGTTACTCCAAAGCCCAAAGCCAATGGCAGGCTCCCATCAGCTTAAGTGGCCTTGGGATCAAAGCCTGAGGCACACAAGATTTGCTGGATCAAGTCACCAGGCCCAAGAAACCCCAGTAAATGAGGTTATTTGCTCACATACAGCATTTTCTGTGATCCCAGTTTTGCAACCATTTACACATCTGCTTAACTTTACATCTGCAAAGCTGCCAACCGCAGGCATTAAAAAACCATGAGATGCTTTGCAGAACGATACCTTAGGGGCTCAGTGTTTTTGTTTTGTGATTGTGAGCATCTCTGTGTTGTCAAGCTTTCTTCCACTAACGTAACAATTAGATTTCTTCTTTTTTTTTTTTTTTAAATGCAATTCCAATTCTTAGAAATGTCTAGATTCCAGGGCTTTAAGAGCAGCACTAAAACACACCCCAGGAGTTGGGAGCATTGGTCCCCAAAGGAGATGCTAAGCACAGGCAAATTATATAAAAAACAAGGACTTTTTTTTTCCTGTGTGTTTGTCCCACTTCTACTTAATTAAACAATATAAACCTTTCATAATATTTTTTTTAATATTAATTCTGTAAATCTGAGTAAGTCCAGGATGGTTCTTTCTAGGGGTGGCTAGAAAAAAAAAGAGAGGAAAAAGCCTTATTTTTCAAAAAAGTTCTCTTTCATATTGAATTTTGAAAATATTCAAAATTTTGAAATGCAACCCATTTTGACTACATCTCTCTTAAGCCAAAAATGCAGGCAACAGAATGAGAATTTGGTAAAAAATGTAATTAAAATTAACTATAACCTTATCACATGTACAGTTTTAACCAGCTCTACAATTAATATATATTTCTCAGAGCAATATATTTGCCATGATAAGCCACTCCTCTATTGTATAAGCTACAAGCACCTGTATAATCTCTTCAAATATTATTTCATGGCAAAATGCGGTGTCAGAATTTAATAATAGAATAGAAATCGGCTTTAATGGTTTTTTTCCCTCTCATACAACTGCTTCATTGCAACAAAACATTCTTTAATATGAAACGATGGTGTAATGATTTAACTTATTATAATAAATCCCTGGCTGTACACAAGCGAATATTGCTTCTCTGATTTGTGTGCTAAATTTTAAGCCAATGGGTTGTCACTTACCCCTGACAACTGAATGGCTAAGATTTGTAATTGGCTTGCATGAAATATTAACATTTACCATAATGCAAGAACTCTTTATATGCATAGCTAGCATGTTAAAAAAAAAAAAAAAAAAAAGAAAAACAACCAGTATCACTGCATATTGATTTAACAGCATAACAACAATCTGCAGCACTCACAAACAGCAAATCTGTCGACAGGGGGTTACATATATTGCACGACACGGACAGCACTAAGCACATATATTGCATAAAACACCAGAAACGGGTCAGAAACTGTTTCAAGCCAATGCACTGTTTTCTCTCTCTGCATTTCTGCCTGGGGCTGCCTCTTTTCTCTGCCTGCTGAAAGGGAATGGAGAGGTTTGTGATGGCATTGGCATACATGCACCTCGAATACTGTGTTCAGTTTTGGGCCCCTCACTACAAGAAGGACATTGAGGTGCTGGAGCGTGTCCAGAGAAGAGCAACTAAGCTGGTGAAGGGTCTAGAGAACAAGTCTTATGAGGAGCGTCTGAGGGAACTGGGGTTGTTTAGCCTGGAGAAGAGGAGGCTGAGGGGAGACCTCATCGCGCTCTACAACTACCTGAAAGGAGGTTGTAGCGAGGTGGGGGTTGGTCTCTTCTCCCAAGTAACAAGCGATAGGACGAGAGGAAATGGCCTCAAGTTGCGCCAAGGGAGGTTTAGATTGGACATTAGGAAAAACTTCTTTACTGAAAGAGTGGTCAGGCCTTGGCACAGGCTGCCCAGGGAAGTGGTGGAGTCACCATCCCTGGAAGTATTTAAAAGAGAAAGGGAATGGAGAGGTTTGCGATGGCATTGGCATACACCAGAGATGGGTGTTGGACACCACCGGCTTTTCGCATATGCCACCTGGAGTGGTCCAGGAACAGGGATGCAGCAGGCCTGAGGATGTGCGTTATTTTGGGCGTGCAAGGGATGTTCGGCCAACAGATTTGGGGGGGATCCCTGATGGTACGCTATTAATTCTCCCTGTCAGGCAGCTCGTACTGCACAGGCACGTGGAAAAAGGATGCAGCTGTGGCAGGTGGGAGTGA